TTCCTGCTTTAAGCTGATGTGGCGCAGGTGGTCCCCTTCCTCCACTCAGGTGCCTGTCCTTGCTTCCTTGTGTTGGCATTAGTGTGTATGCTAACTCTGAACAAGAGGGAGTGGGGACTGATCCCAAAGAACACGAACTCATTGCCAGAAACCCTTCAGGCTGGTCAGCTCTGTAAGAAGGCTGGCCGCACAAGTGCTCATATCGGCTTGAGGAACAGAGATGAGAATTTGGTTTTTTTGGTGACAACCTGAATTTCTGTGGGATTAAGCAAGTAATGAAATAGCAGTCTTTGTTAATTCTTACATTCCAAACATTTATGCTTGACAATTCCAAAATACTGAATGCAAGGAATGTTGTGGTAAATCAGCTTTTTGCTAAGGCGGGTGCCTAATGAACTTGTTCTGACTCCTTCGGTTCTCCTATACAAAGTATGCAAGAAAGTGTTAAGTTGTCACAGTCATGTGGCCTCTGTGTAAATCCCTGTTCTGTTGGAGTGGGTGCTGTGTGATCTACTGGTGACCTATCGGTGCTGCGGTTGCTGCTCTTGCATTGTTGATCAGGCTGTTAAGAATCTGCATACATTAGTCTGTGCTCATTAGCTGCTGAATGATAACTGATTTTTGCAGCAGCTAATTTCCATGTGTGCTTATGGATTACTTCAAATTGTAATTACGCAGGAGCAGCTGGGATCAGCAGTTGATGGCTGCTGATGAGCAGCAGTTATCCCAGGCTGCTGCTGCAAAATGCAGGAAATGGTACAGTATTTGCTCTTTACAGCCTCACCACCTGAATATTTGGTAGGCACTGGCAGTCAGCTGGCCCTGAGTAACTGTGGTTTTGCAGTTATTAACTGGTATGACTTTTTATCCTATGATACACTTTACTCTTTTTCTCCCATGCCTTTCTTTCAAAAACATACTTATCCCTTCTAAATGCATTTTATTTCTACTTGGAAGAAAAGATTCCATTTTTATAATGGTTCTTCAGGCTCTCCATCTTGCAAGGAAGCAGAACTGGGTTTTGAAAGCTGCTGCCTGACCAGTCAGCACCGGCTGACCTGTTTGCAGTTGGCTTGTAGGGGAAGGAGAGAGGTGTCAGTGCCTCTGCTCCTTGACATTTCATGTATGTAGAAGCGTGTTCATTTTGTGCCATGTGAGAGTTGAGAGGTCGTAGCTGCAGTATTGCACCAGAGGATATCACTGATATTTTTCCAGTGTTCTGATTATTGCTTATAATTAGTATCCTTACTGGGAGTTCAGAATTCAATTTTCAAATCAGTCACATTCAGATTTTATTTTTTTTGTTTTTTAGAGTAGAAAAACACTTAACTGCAGGGTAAATTTGAGAAGGTACTTTTAGCTTAACCTTGGCTTTAAGGAAAAAGTTTGGACTTGTTTAAATGGAGTACAGCCAAAAAACTTGACATATTTATGGACGTGACTTCATCACTCCCTCTAGATGCTGCTGTTCAGAGATGAAGTAACTTCTAGTTCCTTTACCTTTGGAAACAATGGCCATTTTTTTGCATTTAGGAGATTCAAAAATTAAATAAAACTTCTCTAAAACTGTTTTCATCAATTTTCCTCTGTGTCACTATTTAGTCAAGGTTCAAGACAAATATTTTCAGTAACAATTTCTTGCATCTATCACTGCTACTTAAGCTGAAATGCTGAATTTATAATTTCTAGATTTATCTCTGGAAAGTAATTTGATAGTAAGCAAAATACTGACTTGCAACAAAGCAGGCAGAACTTCCTGAATTGTATAAATTTTAAACAGTGGAAACTGTGACCCTCTGTTTTAATCAGCCACACCAGATGGATTTAAATTTTTTGTTTCTGAAGCAGGAAGCTTGAAAGTCTTAAAGCAATATATGATGAGCAGAACCTCAGTGATCATGCAGGCCAGCTACCTTGCTGCAGGTTATGCTTTATTGCTTTGGCTGTGCTTCCCCTCCTTATGCAGGAGAAAAGTAATCACAAGGAGACCTTACACAGAGCATTAAACAATTTCTAGCTTGTGTCTGTGGTCTAAATATTCAGCAGTGCTCAGTTGGGTGTTATTTTATCAACCTTGTAATGAAAGAAATGTGTTTTCTTTCGATCCTCACTTCCTCCATGAAATTAATATTTAAAGTGTATTTAAGAATTTGTAAAAGGTGTCTAATATTCTTCGTCTGTGTCCTGCTTGCTTACTAATCTGAGGAGGAAATCTTAAGGTGGACGATGAGTCTTTGTCAAAATACTTGCTAGGTTTTATTTTTTCCCCTCATAAATTGCAAAGGTAGAGGAACATTGCCTTTGCAGACTTTACTGTCTGGTTTTCTTAATGCTTCTTAATGCGTGTACCATTAACTGATCTGTCAGTTTGACTGTTTCCTACATCCAGTATCCTGAATTTAAAAACCTCAATGCTTATTTCAGGTACTATTTCAAAACATGTGAATTCTTTGTTGCTGTTGGAAAGACTATTTCACATCTCAGATGAGCTCTAGTTTATGAGTTCACAAATTTATTGTAATACACTCTGGTGATGGCTGCAGAAATAGCTCAGTTGTTAAACTGTTGGATTGAGGGAAACTATTTGTTTGGGATGGTGAAAGTCTTTTCACCTGAAATATTTGCAAGCAGTAGCATTTCTCACACTGGCTGAGGAGTACCTACAGTCCTCCTCACATATCTTAATCGAAGTTAGGCAGGATAGAAATGACAAAGTATCCCTGCTAAGCACTCTATGAAAGTGCAGGCGCTTAATTCTGTGTGTGTGTGGGGGGGGGGTCTGGGTACCTTCAGAAGCACATAGATCTCCTAATTAGTAGTTATTTTGAAATGGGAAGCTAACAGTACATCAGACACTGAATACTGCTAGGGACATTTCTTTGAGCTAGGGGTCGTACTGGCTTTGTGGATCAAAAGTGAAGCCTGCTGTAGGATGCAGGGGTGGGCAGATGTCTGCAGGTGAATCAGCTGTACCAACCCATCTTCTGCTCCAGAGTTTGACCAGGTGCTTGTGCTGTGTTTTTTCAGACAGGCTGTAGGAAACTGTCTTAATGCAGTATACCTCGTAGGCATGGACTTCATGCTTTTCAAATAATGTGAATTTGACTTTGTTTGTAAAATCTTTACTAACTTTTTTTGGCAGTTGGAATAATTTGCATAAGTCAAATGATTTTTGTGGCCTGTAGCTGAAAACTGATTTAGTATGACTTGCATAATTGTTTAAAGAGAGCAACAGATCTAAAGATGGTGATGGAATGTGTAGAGTAGGTTCATCCTACAGAGTGATGCCATGCAGTACCTGGTGGTGGGAAAAATCCTGGTGTTAGAAAATGTGAAAGGTTATGACAGCAGCAAGACCATGTCACTGCAGAGTGCTGTATCTTTACCCTCTCTGTATATTTTATCAAATGTGGAGATTTAACATTACCTATAATGTACAAATGCAGCTACTTTGCCAGCAGGACATTACTAGGAACTGCAGTGTTTTCTTGTATCGATCTTCAAGCAACACCTGCTGCAAGAATT